TAATTTTATACTAGAATTCGTTTTTTGCATTTTAAACAATTCAATTTTATGAGAAACATTATATTTCGTTATTATATATAATTATTAATATAATATTATTTTTGTTTCTAATATGTATTAGGTCCATTGTACAATCGTACAGAATTCAATAACTTTCGAAAATTTCGTTACAATCATCTACAAAGGCATTTTGATAATGTATGGATGTGGCGAGATATTAATATTGGACCACATGGACGATTCATATTTGATTTAGATGTTCCTAATCGACCTGCGAATTGGATGATAACTGCATTTAGTTTAAGTCCTTCAAAAGGTTTTGGTATGATTAAAAAGCCCATTGAAGTAAGTAAATATTCTATAACATAGAATTAAATTAATATTATTATTTAAAAATATTCTATTTTGCAGTATGTTGGTGTATTACCATTTTATATGAATGTTGAAATGCCTACTCATTGTAAAGAAGGTGAACAGATTGGAATTCGTGTTACTGTTTTTAACTACATGTGCAGTAGTGTTGAAGCTGTAGTTGTTTTGTTGGGTTCAGACTCTTATAAATTTGTGCATGTTGAAGAAGATGGAATAGTATGAAATAWCATATAAAATATAGTATACTATTATAATATGCCTATTTTGTAACTTTTTTTATTTGTTATAAGGTAAACTCATACAATCCTAGAACATCTCATGGTCATCATCAATTTTTTGTTTATATTAAAGCACAAGATGCAGAAACGGTTTACTTACCTGTGGTACCTACAAAACTTGGTGATATTACCATTAATATTGAGGCAACTTCATTAATAGCTAGTGATCGAGTGACTAGAAATTTACATGTTGAAGTACGTTCATTTTTGAAATGTTAATATTTATCATTTATGTTTATAACTAAGAGTACTATTCTCTCATTTTTGTAGTCCGATGGAGTACCTCAGTACAGACATCAGTCAATGATCTTGGATCTTAGTAATAGAGCTTATGTTTTCCAATATTTGCATGTAAATGTAACTGAAACTCCAATTATACCATACAGCATAGATCGTTACTATGTTTATGGATCAAATAAAGCTCACCTTTCATTAGTTGGGGATGTTGTTGGACCAATTTTCCCTACAATGCCTGTTAATGCAACATCTTTGCTTAATTTACCAATGGTAATGTTAACATTGTATTAGTATTCAGTTACTATTAGGGTTAGATAGATTGTTTAATTATAATTTTAAACTATCAGGACGCTGCTGAACAAACAATGTTTAGTTTTGCTGCTAACTTATATACAACAATTTATATGAGATATGCAAATCAACGAAATAGAACACTGGAGAAGCAATCATTCTACCATTTAAATATTGGATATCAGCGCATGTTATCATTTATGAACAAAGATGGATCGTTTAGTCTTTTCAGGAGTGATTGGTATGATTGTTACTTGTGATAATTTTTTTTTTCTTTTAATATTAAAGTTATGATTTTAGGAATATGTCCTATCCAAGTGTATGGTTGACTTCATATTGTGCTAGAGTGTTCCAAGAAGCAAACTTTTATGAGTGGGAAAATTTCATATTTATTGATCCACAGGTAATTAACAATATTTCTTAGTAAAATAATATATTAAATATTAATAAATAAAAATTTAATTTAGGTAATCTCAAAAGCTTTAACTTGGGTGCTGAAACATCAAACTGAAGAAGGTTCATTTTATGATGTGACAGGGTTTCCTGACCGTAAAGTTAATAGTTCAATGCATAGATCAATTTTGTTTGGAACAAATAGACAACAGAGATTTTCAAATATTTCATTAACTGCACAAGTTCTCATAACATTAACAAATGCAAAAGATTTATCAGGGGTTGGTTAATATTTATTTTATATTTCTGTTTAATTTTATTCATATGTGTTATTTTATTTTATGATAGGGCCTAGGTTCTAAATTGGCTCAAGGTGAAAGTCGAGCTGTGAAGTATTTAGAAAAAAATATGAATTTATTAAATATGACTGGTGAACCATATGAAATTGCACTCGTAACTTATGCATTAATGTTGACAAAGTCATCATTTGCTGAGTATGCATTCACTATATTAGCTCATCATGCTAGGAGAGAAGGTATGTTTTGTATTTTTTATTTTTGTGTGATATTTCAGATTGTTTAACTTGAATATTATTGTAGGTGGTCTGATGTATTGGGGTAAAGAATTTGTACCATTGCCACCAACAAAAATGGAAAATCAGAAACCATTTTTATTACCACGTCTGCCATATAAATTTGACTCTATTAATATAGAAACAACAGCATATGCTTTACTTGTTTATGTTGCAAGAAAAGAACCTTATATTGATGATGTTGTTAAGTGGTTAAATTCTCAAAGACTTACTGATGGTGGTTGGGCCTCCACACAAGATACGGCTATTGCCATGAAAGCTCTAATTGAATATACAAACAGAAACAGACTTCGAGATGTATTTACATTGACTGTTACAGTTGAAGCTACAGCTCTTTCAGGAAAAACAAAAATATTGAAGGTTAACAGTGAAAATATTGCTCATTTACAAAAAATAGAGGTAAAAATAACTTAATGTTTCCCTTTGGTCTTAAATTTAAGTTATTTAACTTTATTTTAGATTCCACAAGCTTGGGGTACTGTTAAAGTCCAAGCTAAAGGTTCAGGTTATGCAATTTTACAAATGTCCGTCCAATATAATGTTGATGTAGCAAAATTCCAAACAACACCACCTGAACAAGCCTTTGGAATAATAACACGTGCAGATTTCCATGGTCGCAATCAGTCTCATATTACTTATCGTAGTTGTCAAAAGTATTAACAACAATAACACAATAGTTTTACCTAAGTTACTAAATGATTTATAATTTAGATGGACTTAYATTGAAGAGTCTCCTAGATCTGGATTGGCTGTATTGGATGTTGCTATTCCAACTGGATATATAATACAACAACAAAATTTAGACGCTTATGTGCTACAAAGAACTGTTCCAAATTTACAAAGAGCTCGATTTTTCCCTGGAAAGCTGTTGTTTTACTTTGATTATGTAACATCATAATTTTTATTCTTATATGCATGTAACTTAAAAATGTATTAATATTATTATTTATTAATAGTTGGACGATTCAGAAACTTGTGTTAAATTTACTGTTGAAAGATGGTACCCTGTTGCAAATATGTCACGTTATCTTCCTGTTCGCGTGTATGATTATTATGCTCCTGGTATGTTATTATTTATTACATGTCATACAGTTATTTTCAATACATTTTACTGATTTAAATTGAAATATATTTATATTTTTTAGAACGATTCAACGAAACAATATTTGATGCTTTACCAACATATTTGTTAAATATTTGTGAAGTATGCGGTAGTAGTCAATGTCCTTATTGCCCAATTTTCAATAACGCTGTTCAATTGTCTATTTCAATAAAATATATTTCTATTGTTACTATTATTGTAATTAACATTTACAATAATTTAATCACATAATTCAATTGTATTATTAGTTTAATTTAAGTATTAATTTAATGCACTTTAAAAACTTAATTTTAATAACTTATAGAAATATTTAAAAAAAATTGAATTAGATATTCGAAGACTGGCTAAAATATGTTAATATCAGCTTACATTAGAAAATGGGTTTAAAAAAAAATGTTTTAACATTTTATTAGATGCACATTAGCATGTTGTTACTAGCSTTTCGCTAGGAATTAATCTATAGCCATACATTGATTGACAAAACTGAAAACACACATACATTTTTATTTTAATGATCTTCTCTTAATAATATACTATAATGTGTAATACGACTAATTATAAGGGTAGCATATCTCACTTATATTTTACAGCTTTCTTTATAGTTATAAATATAAATATAAATACATTGAATAATATGATCATCCGGACTGGCTTAAAGCAGATGCATGCGGTGTGTCTGCACCCGGTGGCAATTTTGAGTAGATAATTATTGTAATATTTCACAGAGTGGCTAAACACCTAAAGCAAGTCCTGATGATTATAGTAATTAATTCACTAATTATATAAATATTTTATCAGCAAAACTTACTTAAAATTGATAAATTTTAACGTCTGCTATTATATGTATAATGCCTTAATCATTAAAAATTCCTCCTTTGAACAAATTCTAACATATAATATTCATTATTTTATTATGTAAAAATATAATTTATTTTATTATTTAGTATTATTATTTTAAAATTAATTAATATGCATAGTGTGACAACAAATTTGTATTCAATAACTTTATGAATCTCATGATTTAATCAGTATTTTTCCTTTAAACATATTTTTTTATAGTTAGATATAGTTCATTTGTAAAGTGTTCTGTTATTTTATTTTATTGAAAAACTAATAAGTAGCTAAATATTTAAATTTAATTATAATAACCCAAAAAAGGTCTAACATATATTTTATATTCTTAAATTACAATTTATGAATAGAGTTTAATTTTATAACTTTCATCTTTGTATAATATAATATAAAGATTTAAAAAAAGATAGAACACATTTTTGAGACACTGAAAATGTATTATATTTTATAATGATCWACAATATCCTTTGATTAAATAAATGTACCTAATTAAGCTGTCATAAATTTATAAAATTTTTAATAACTAGAAAAATGTACTGATTTTATGCTTCAAATTAATATAAGTTGCAACTAATGCCGTCCATTGTTACATTTTTTTAATATATATATTTACTTTWCAATCAATGTTTTACATGTATTTTAATTTTAAAATACAGTTTATCTATTTTGATGTAAATAAAGAAATATATTATGAAGACATTGTTTTTTTTTTTTGTTTAAGTAATGGAAAACCATGATTTGTCCATTTTTTAAATATCACTGCGTGACAAATTGATGATAAAAAGTGAAAACATGTTTAATGTACCATGGCATTACATTCTGTTTTGTTTTTGTTGTATTGTGATCAATAGAATTGCTTACTTACAAATACTTTTCACACACCATGTATTTGTTATTAAGTTTACTAGTTGTTATTGCATTAAGTGTGCCTGATGGCAATACAAACTCGTCAAACGATCATTTACTTATTGAACACAGTGTCACTCTGGAAAGTGCTAAAAAGGCAATTCAACATATTGAACCAGACTTGAGTAAAACATATCATTAATTCATAAATCACACTGTATGATTGTAATATAAATAATTATCTTATTAGTGATAGGAGTTGGTTGCAAGGAATGTACTAGAAGAGAAATTGAATATTGTTTGTCCAATGATATTATTGATGATCATTGTTGTTGCCAGAGGAAATATCATGGTATGTTAATGTATAAATATATTTTTGATATATTACATTATACTTTAATATTTGGGTTACAGAGGTATTTCCTTACATCGAACATACTTGTTATGTAAGATCTAGAAATTGTGAACCTACTGTTCGAGACTGTGGAGTATTTGATCGATTATTGTCTTGTTGTTGTCATCATTATCTTGGAACAAAATGTGGGTAATATACTACAAATTTTAGTCATTTTAAATTTATTGATAAACTACACATTATACACATAGGTAGTAGGGMATAAGTGATTGAAAACAGTCTTGCTGTTGTATATTAATGTCAAAATTATATAAAAATTATTAAGTCCCCTAGAAAATAAAATAGTTAAATAAAGATATGTTTATTAAATAATTAACAAATTAACTTATATGGGCCATGGAGCCCCGCAAARTTATACTTTTAGTAATTTAAAATATGTATGTACAGGCCTCCAATGAGTTTACAAATTTATCAATCAATTATGTTTATTTTTCAGTCTTAAAACAAACCAATTAGATTATGTTTTAGGTAGTAGTTAATATTTTACTGTAAACTGTAAAGTATAAAAAAAAAATAATAATAATAAATTCAATATAATTATAAATTATAAGTTAATAACAAAAAATTGTTAATTTTTAGTATAATTTGTTTTTTACCATAACTTCTTAAGATTTTTGACCATTTTGTTGTTGAAAATACCTTCTCATCATGTGACGCATATGAAAATGCACATTTACAAAAATCGCTAGTAAGCTAAACTGCATGTGTTCATATGCATTGATCCACAGGTAATCAACAATATTTCTTAGTAAAATAATATATTAAATATTAATAAATAAGAATTATATGTATATGCATATTAAATTATGCCGTTCTAGCATTTGGGTACAGTTGTCCCTCCCCCTAAATATGTTCCAGCTAATAATTAGATTATGGCAATAAAACAATATAGCAACTAGTTAGTGGACACAAAAAAGTAATAAAAATAATTATTATAATTTGTAATACTCTACTATATAGTAAGCTGTAATATATAATATAAATATAATATATCTACTAGAAAAAAAATAAGACTTTGTTGCATCATAACAATTAACAATTAATTCACTTAAAAATTGTCATCTCCTTATTTAGTTATAATAGTCATTGCCCATTGGTAAAAAATATCAGGGGAAAAAAAACAAAAATATTAATACATGTAATATTTCATTTACACTTATTTTGTTACTTTTCATTATGACATGCAAGCACATTATGTATAGTGACAGCGCAAGATAAACAAACTATCGGCCCGCCAAAACTTAAAATTTTAACCGGTCCTAAATGAACAATTTTCAAATGAAAATTTCAAAAATCTACCTAGATTTTACGTTGCTCACCAAGTTCAACTGTTATCCGGGCCTGTATAGTGATTAAAAATACTCAAATTGATTACTGCAACTGCAATAGTATTACTTAATTAATTTTTAAAACTAGCTTATTCCACATTATTTGTAATATAGTAAGTGATGGATGTGTCTTGTGTAGCTTATTGTGGTAGAGTAAGCCAAGCCAATGATACTTGCAAAAATGAATTTTGGTGATATAAAATTAATTTCATTTACTTMTCAGTCATCATCCAATATTTACAATATATACAGCATAACAAAAATATGTCTTATACTAAGCTTTAGTGGGATTTAGTAAAAATTAAAAGATATATAATAGGGAACATCATAAAATAACATAATATAGTATAGGTGCATACCGTGGTAATATCATCAATTAATAATTTAGTAAGTTAATTTTTCTATATACATATTTATAGGTAGTTATTATTAACATTTAGTGATGTAAAAATCAAAACCCACAAAGTAAATACCATAGAATAAGACTATACTTTATACTACTATAGTAGTATGATCTTTAGTCACAATCTAGTAGTTATAAAGGTATGGTAGAGTTTACCCCCATTGCTCACTTGCCACTACCATGCACACT